GGCAGGTGGGAGAGGCGCCTGTGTGGCTCTGCCTTCTTCCCTTCCGTGCCCGTTCGATTTCCTCCGTTCCGGAGGATCCAAAGTTTGCGTCCTTGCACCTTTTTGCAGCCCTGGAGTATTTTAGATCACAGCTGGCCACAGCACAAGGTGAAGGAAGGACTGTGGAGTGCTTCAAAGCTGGGTTTCTCAGGCAGGTGATTCCAGCTTGCTGCTGCTAAAATGTCTCTTCTTTCTTCGGTTCCCTGCTTTGTGGGACTTTTTAAAATTTTTTATCCGGCTGCCGATTCCCACACAAATGCTTCTTGATGCAAAGCTAAAGCAGGTGGAAAGCATCGCATCCAGGCAGGTTTCTCCGCTCTCTGGATTTGCATCCTCCAGCACTCGGCTGCGTTCCCTCGCCGGCTGCCTTTCTCATTTGCAAGTGTTTCTCACAACCCACAAAGCTCTCGGTAACTGCGGGCAGGTGAGATGTTTCTGGGCATCTGTGCAGGGTCTGGCGAAGCCCATGTTGTGGGTGGTTTGGTGTTGGAGCCTTTTGCTCAGCAAAAGCTCTTACCGAGCTGCAGCCGAGGGCTGCGGGGAGGCTGCAGAGGATGCGACTGCCTGAGCGCCAGACCTGCGCTAGAGAGCGGCTGCGGGGGACTGAGACGCAGGTTTGCCGCTGCTGAAGAGTTAGGGCTGTATGGAAGAGAGATCTGAATTTAGGGCTTGCACGGGTGTCAGCTGCTTGGGGAGTTTTGTATGTGAATTAAAAGCCCCGTGCAGTTATGGTACGGGACCCGGCTTAGCTGGGCGCAGTGTTAACTATGCCGCTGCCTGGTCGCGGAGCCCCGAGCTCTCTGCAGAGCACTGCTCCTCCCAGCACTGCCCTTTGTGTCCTCCCATGCCCGCCGCCGCGTTAAACACTGCCCTGGCAAACCCACAGCCCCGGGGCCATCCCGGTGCCCGGCGACGGCTCCCATGAGCCGACCGGCTTCGCATTTCCAGCCTTAAACTTTTCTGCTGGGCTTGGAAACCACTGTGCCAAATTTAGAGCCGAAGCATAAATATTTAATAGCGGGGAAGAAAACGATCTCAGGTCCTGCTGCAGTGCAGAGCAAAACAGACACAGCTGTGCAGTTGCTGCCGGTGTTTGATGGTAAGCAGTAGCTCCTTTTCCGCTTTTCAGGGGTCAGACAAACCAAAGTAGGAGGAATCGTGGTATGTGGGAATTTTTTTGAAATGAGAGCACATGTTTTTGCCTTTTTCCTCCTTTTCTGGTAGCTTTTTGGCATACGCTTCTAGCGGGAGTGATGCTGCGGTTCGTGGGGCAACGTAGCACGTTCCATCGCTCGCCCGTCTTGCACAGCCCCTCCGCCGAGCCTTGCACAATTTTTGCCCCCCCGTGCAGAGGTGAGCCCTCCTCCTTCATCCCCGAGCTCGCAGCTGAGAGCAGCCCCTGCAAAGACCTTCCTGGAGGGGCCCCGTGGGTTTATCACCAGCGAGGAAAGTGCGAGGGCAGGAGTTTCTTCCTGCGGTTGGTGAGCGTGACCTTACCTTGCGCCAGCCTCTCGGTTTCTCATCTACTTCCCGTTTGACGAAGCAGGGCTCGTCACAGCCGCCGCCGGACTTAGAAGGTGGGATGGGAACAAGGGGTAGCCAGTTCCTCTGCCACTTTTTGGGACCTTTCTGATCTTCGTCGAGCTGTTTTGTGGTGGTGGAGGCGCTTGCCGGCGCCATCGCAGCACGGTTTGGCACAGGAACCTGTGGGCAGGGTTTGCAGCTGCCTGCCCCGGTTAAAGCCTCTAATTAGTCTGGGGCATGTGAGCATCTCCTGTCCCTTCTCTGTCATCACTTGACTTGCATTATGGACCTGGGATCTTTCCGTACGTGGGGTTGTGCTTGTCGCAGCGAAGCTCTGAGGAAGAGGAACTGTGTGGCGAAGGCTGCCGGGGACGGGGGTGTGGGTGAGAGCGGGCTGAGGCTCGGCTCCTTCACAAACGAGCGGGTAACAGAAGGACTAGGGTAAACTTGAGGGGTCTGAAATACTCTTGGTGTAGGACAACTCCAAATCTAACAGGCATAATCTCCAGGAAATAAACAGCCGGGAGGCTGCAACCCCTGCGGGCTTGGCCAGTCCCACCATGTGTACGTAATCTGCTTGTCTGACACCCTCTCCTTTCTCTCCTGGGGCAGATGGTGGCCTGGAGGAGATGGTGGAGGAGCTTAACAGCGGGAAGGTGATGTATGCCTTCTGTAGGGTGAAGGATCCCAACTCCGGCCTGCCCAAATACGTCCTTGTCAACTGGGTGAGTGGGTGCAGATCTCTGCCTTTCCCGGGAGGCACCTGGTGGAGATAAATCACTGTTTCTCCCTTCAATTCTCTCTTGAGTCGTGGTTGCCGAATGCTCGGCAGCCAGCGTGTTGAATCCCTTCCGCCAAGCTGCAATACCGAGCGCGTACCATGCCCACCGCTGCGGGTACGTACTCCAAACCCCGTGGACGCAGGCAAACAGAGGCTGGGAAGATTCACTTTTCCGTTGCATCTCTTTGGCCGTGTGTCTTGCTCAGCTGGCGGTGCCGCTGCCGGCGAACGGCTCTGAACCCATCTAAGGTGGGTTGAGTGAAGCATTGGAGGATCAGCAGGAGCCTGGAGCCCTCGCTGTGTGGCCGTTGTCCCTGGGCAGGGGGCTCGCCGTCTCCCTCCGAGCAGCGCTGGCTGCAGAGCGGGGTCTTTTTCCAGGCAGTGAGCCCTGGTGAAGCCCTCGCCATGGCCGGCGTGGATGGTCTGCAGGCTTAGATCAGGGTGCTGCTGCTATAAAAACAGCCTTGGGTGGGACTTTGTGGTAAGCACATGCCGATGGTTTCTCTTTGCAGACTGGCGAAGGCGTGAATGACGTGAGGAAAGGAGCCTGTGCCAACCACGTCAGCACCGTAGCAAACTTCCTAAAGGTCTGGTCCTCTTTTCACTGCGTCCTCCCTGGGTCGGTGGGCCCCGGGCTGGGGAACACGCGCCCTGCATGGCTCTCGGGTGGCACAGAGTCACGTTTGCCAGCAAGACCATGGCTGAGAGAGGCTGGGGAGTGCCGCCCCGGCACTCAGTACTCCCCGCGCTGCGGGAGCGCCCAGACCTGCCGCTCAGAGGCTGATTTGCGACACAAACCTCTTGCAGTCGAAAATAGCCAGAGCTATTTTCGACTGCAAGAGGTTTTGAGGAGGCAAAACCAGCCTCTGTCCCTCACTGGGCATCTGCTTCACTAGCACTGCATTATCTTATCATGTCTGGTGACCTCCCTTTCTCACCTGAGCCCTTTGCCTTCCCTTGGGAGCTCTGGGAACGTAGACTGGACCTGTCGAAGCGGCGTGGTGGGTTTAGTGGCTTCTAGAGTCACCTGTCACTCCTGTGCTGGCTTTCTCCCTGTTCAGGGGGCTCACGTCACCATCAACGCTCGTGCAGAGGAGGACGTGGAGCCTGAACTCATCATGGAGAAGGTTGCCAAGGCCTCTGGGGCCAACTACAACTTCCACAAGGAGAGCAGCAAGTTCCAGGACTCGGGCCCTCAAGCTCCTGTGGTGAGTTCGCTCCGTGAGGGCTTTTTGGTTCCTCTGGGCTTGCGGCTGGGCAGGGGCAGAGTCCAGGACCACTGTCACCCTGCAGTGCAAGGGGGTCCCCGTGCTTTGACGTGGCTGAGGAAGCACCGACGATTTTGCCCAGGGCCGGTTCCTCTCTCTGGCTCATTGTGGAGTGAATCAGGGCAAGAGCATGGGGTGGTGGCAGAGCCGAGACGTCCTTGCAGCAAACAGAAAGCCTGCGCTCTCTTCTCCATAGGCCCAACCATTTTTTTTAAGCAGGACTGCTTCCCCCCAGTCCTGTTCAGTTTTTGAGAGACATAAAAGCTCCAGCTTTTCAAACGTCCAGCCTATCTGCAAGGCCTGGGGCTTCTCCGAAGCTGTGGGGTAGCTGAGGGATGGGGAACGAGATGTGTCAGTGCAGCGGCATTTTGACCTGCTTGCAAATGGAATCTGTGCTGTGAAGTGTCGAGGCCAGAGATCTCGGCAACCGCCTTTCTGTCTACGTGGAAATGTTCTGTAGGAAGGTTGTTTTTTAACACTGACACCAAGCAGTGAGTTTTCTCAGCTGTACCAAGGAGAAGCTCAGCTGCACATGCTCTTTGACTCTGCATCGCTTGACCCTGCTCTGAGATGTGGCTGTAGGGCAAACCGGAGCTGTGGAAGACCCTCGCTCTCCCCCGGCCCCGCTTTGGTGCGGCGGTGCCAGCTTCACACGTGTCCCGGTCACTTTGCTGGCTGCTCCAGCCTGGGCTCTGCAGCGCTTTAGCAACCTGATTTTTGCTTGAGGCAAGAGGAAGACCAGGCTGGAAGTCCCCGTTTTTGGCAACACGCAGGTCACTGGGCTCAGCCAGCCCTCCTTTAAAGTCTGGGGCAAAGCACCAGGTTATAGTAACTTCTAAAAAGTCACGGACTGTGCTCAATGCGGGACCGTGCTGGGTTTGCTGTTACTTTCCATCACAAAGCATCTCTATTTTTCCTTCTTGATGCTGAATTTCTTCCACTGACCCTTTCAACCCAGCCTGCTGGTCCTTGGCTGTGTGGGGCTGGGTGCCCTCTGCCAGGGGAAGGCAAAAAGGGTCCGGCCGGTCCCGTATCAGCAGGATAAAGCTGTCAGAAAGCCACACAGGGACACATTTCTGCAGAGGAATGTGAAAATTGTGATTGCTCGGTGACTACTGCTCACACCCGCTGCCTTCTGCCTCCCCCAGGGCTCTGTCTACCAGAAGACGAATGCAATGTCCGAAATCAAGAGAGTCAATAAAGATAATTTCTGGGCCAAAGCTGAGGTGAGTGCTGCCGCTTCTCAGCAGCAGCCAGGCAAGAGGAGAACGAGGCATTTGGGTGTAGCTGGAGATTTCTCTCCGTCTGCATCTTCCCTCTCTGACCTGGGCTTTCCTGCCCAGAGTCAGCGTCTGGCAGAGAGGGGATGATGGATGGGTCAGAAAGCAGCGTGGAGCGGGGCTGGCTCAGAGGTCCTGCCGCCTCGGGGCGCAAGGGGAGGGGGAAATTGGTCTTGAAGAGCAAGATGCTTTTTATCTCCTCTTAGTTTGGCTCAGGCCTGCTGGGGCAGGCGCAGGGGGAGAGGGCTGAGCTGCAGCCCGGCGCCCGGTGGATGGCAAACTCCATTTGGGTGAGGGGGCTGTTTTTGACCATTCTGAAGGCAGCTCCCCAAGACTGAACAGCGGGCCGTGTCTGCTCTGTATTTGCTTCCCATTCAGGTTGTTTTACACCAGGGTTTTACAGTGGTTTAGCAGTAGTGTCTGAACCTTCAGGCTGTGGAAGTGTTATGGGTGCCGCGTGCCCTGGGAGCTGCCAGGAGATCTGCCGTGCTGGCTGGTGGCACAGCACGGCGGGCAAGTAGCAGGGGGGTTTCTCAGAGCTGGCAGCATTCAACCCATGATTTGATGCACGTCTCCCATTAGAAAGATGAAGAAAACCGACGGCTGGAGGAGAAGAGGAGAGCAGAGGAGGAGCGGCAGCAGCTAGAGAGAGAGCGTCGGGAGCGGGAGCTGCAGGAAGCAGCAGGGCGAGAACAGAGATATAAAGCGAGATCCAACGAAATCGAAGCCCAGAAGTGAGTCCCTGCTGCTGGCGAGTGTTTGTAACGATGCCGGGAGCCCATCCCGCTCTCAGCTTTGCTCTCGGTTGTGCTCTGTGCCCTTGTCACCACCTCTTCCAAGCTGCTGTCCCTGCTCTAGCCCCTGTGCTGCCAGCGGAGGGTTGATCCTCAGGGAGCAGCAGATCGTGTCACTGCATTCCCTGCTGCTGCAGTCGCTGCGATTCCAGGAAACCTCCTTTAAAGCAGAGGGCATCTGCCTCGGCTTGCGCTGGGGCAGGCTCGCTCCCGCGCCCGGCCCCGTCCGGCCGCCGCCATGGCGTGCTGCCCTCGGGCACCGTGATCGGCAGGTCCGATCCTCCTGGTACCCCCGTGCGACCTGAGCGTCGGTCTGCTCCTGCTGACGTGCGAATGAGTTGCGTTTGCCTTTGCTCAGCTTCCTGGAGTGGTGGCAGAGGTTTGGGCTGGCTGACCTGTGGGCTCCTCGGCTGGGTGTCCCCCGGCAAGCCCCTGGCGTGGGGAGAGCATCTTCTCCCCGGCCAAGCTGCTGACGACTTTGCCTGCTTGTCCAGCATCATCCGTGGGTCTCCCTGCCCGTGGGTCCTGCCCCCAGGAGCAAGTCCCTGCCTTGCAGGGTGCTTCTGAAACACGTCGTTAAAACCTATGGCCACCGTTTGTGGGGTACCGGAGGCCCAGGCCGGCTGCCGGAGGGCTCTGCGCCCTGCAGAGAGGAGGCGGCGCGTACGGGGACCGGCATTGTGCGGATTTCCTTCCTCTCCGAGCCCGGCGTGACCCCTGTTAGGTGGTGGAGCTCACTTCTGCAAGCAGCAGCAGGCACTGCCTTCCTGTTTTCAGCTCGGATGGGGAAGTCCGCCCAGCCGCTCTGTGCCGGATGCTCCTGTCCGTGCCCCTGAAGGAAAAGATTTCCCCAGTTTGGTCCCACTGTTTGAAGCAGCTCCTGCTGCTCTGCCCCTCTCTCCCTGCTGTTGCCCTCTGCACGGCTCCGGGGGTGCCTGTGGCTCCTCATCTGTCCCCAGAGGTGAGAGGGAATGTCCTTCCTCTGGTCTTCCCCATGTGGCTGCCGCAGGGTGAGGTCCCAGAGCAGCTCCACGCACAGCAGACTGCGTGTCCTGCCTGCTCGTTAACCCCGATGTGTTACTTGTCACCACAGGAGACTCCAGCAGCAGCAGGAGGCAGAGAACAGGGACAAGGAGCAGCAGCAGTGGGTGAGCTTCAGCGTTGTCCCCCATGGTGGGGTTTCTTCACGCATCCCCCATGACAGAGAGGACAGGGTGCCGTGGCGCAGACGACGCTGCGGGCAGAGGCAGGAGGGTGGTGGAGGAGCTCCCCGGGCACTGCTGTGGCAGTTGGGGGATGTGGAGAGACCCACGGACACGCTCTGGCAGGAGAGGTGCTATGGGCTGCTCCTCCAGGTCTCCTGCTCTTCGCTGGATGGGCTTTGATTTCGTTGGACCTTGCTTTATATCTCTGCTCACGCTGGCTGCGTGCTGCTAACGGCCGGTCCAGCCGCTAGAGCAGAGTTTAAACCTCTTTTCTGGAGAAGAGCCTGGGGACACTGGAAGAAACCAGGTCCTCAGCCCAGCAAACCTGCATCTCGCTCCCAGATCCAGGAGCTTCCCTCCCCATTCACCCTCCATTGCCGTGTCTGTTCCTTGTTCCCGTTTCTCTGGTCCGTGGGGCTGGATGGGGAAGGAGGGGGCTGGCTTGGTGCCTGCCGAGGCTGCAGCAGACCCTCTCTTGTGCTGCAGAAGGAGCAAGCCGAGGAGTATGAGGCCAGGCAGCGGAAGGGCTTCAAGAGAAGCGAATCGGTGGAGAAAGCCCAGGTACGCTGCCGGGAGCCCGAGCGCTTTGCTTGCGGGGGTTCAGCTCCCCACCTTGTGCTGCTCCCCACCTCGGGGCTGGAGTGCCTTGACCGCGGGGTCTGTGCGCTCTTCACCTTCTCAGGAGGCTGCGTCGCTGATAGCGCAGAGGGCGGTGAACCCCCGGGACATCTTCAAGCAGAGGGAGAAGTCGGTGCCAGTGGACGCGGTGACAGCTGCTCAGCCGGGTACGGCGCAGGGTGCAACGCTCGCAGCGGGTCAGGCAGCGTGAGCTGGTTCCCGTTCCCCGCACCGGGTAAATCCGTGCGCAGAGCGTGCTCCCGATGGGGAGAGCATGTGTCTGGGATGGTGTGTTACCTGTGAGGCCGCAGTTCCCGCTGAGCACAGGTAGCTCTCGTCACACCTGGTGCTCTCTGCCGTGGGCAGAGCAATGTCTCACGCCCAGCTCGCACGACGTTTTTCGTGGTAAGGCTCTTGCTGCCGGCTGTGCCAGGTTTTAACAGCCGAGACAGGAGTTTTCCATACTTGGACTCCACTCCTGAAGCTTAAATTCAATTTTTTTAAGGAAAACGAAATATATTAATGCCAGAAAGGCACCACTGTCACAATCTATCGTGACCGCCACAGATTCCACATGATTTTTTGCACTGGTTGAACCAAGCAGGAGTGTGTCCCTTTAGAAGAGGCTGACCTGATCTATCAGATAAAAAGCCAGGAAGCTGTGAAAAGCAAGGCTGAAACTAGCCGAGGAAGTCCTTGAGAATCCCTGGGTGAATGTCTCCTCAGTCAGCTCAACCTCCTTGAAACTAGCTTGAATTAATTTGGAATAAGCGCTTTTATTTTGTGGTAGAGGCACAAATGCACTTTCTTGGGTAGACAAGCCATCGGTGGGACAGGATGAAATGCCACGGTGGGAAAATGTCTGTCTTGCCGTTTAAACCTCACGGGGGGAGGCTGATTTCTGAGGCTGAGAAATCCCTCGGGATTTGCCTCATTTGTGTTAGTATTTGATGTTTTTTCAGTAGAGGAAAGGAAGACAAATGCCCTGGCACCCACAAAACCCATGGGCTAAGGGTAGGCTGGCAAGTCTTGGTGCTTATTCACTGCTGTGCTTGGGTAGGGCTTGTCTGGTAACTCTCCTGCTTCGCTTTTGTTTGCGTCCAGAGGCACAGACGGGCGAGATAACAGTGAGTAGTTACCTTCTGCCAAAGGGAAGTGCGCTGGCTTCGAAGGCTGGCAGCGGCCGGTTTGAGTTGTACCCCTCCCAGTTGCTGGTCCTGCTCTGTGAAAACAGAGATTACAGAAGTCCTACCGAACAGCTGTCTAATCCAGCCGGAGCTTCTCTGAATTCTTGTAAGTAAACAATTTTTTTTTTTTTTTTTTTTTTTTTTCTTGCTTGACTGCAGCTACTGTTGCAACCAGTAGACAAACTTGTTTTCCACGACCAGGATTACAGCTGGAAAATCCTGCTTAGGAGGATAACCAAGCAGTGGGCTCCTAAAGCAAAAAGCATCCGACAACACCCCTCGGTGACTAACTCCTGTGATTCCTGGGGAGTCACGGGGCTGTCGCCGTGCAGCTGGAAGCCTCCGTGCCTGCCCGGCTCCTGCAGCACGTTTGACTCCTTTTCCAGGCAAGCTTCGCAGCCCTTTCCTGCAGAAGGAGGTGAACTCTGTGCCGAGTCCTGTCTCTCCCGCCCGGGATGCTTCCTCAGCCTCCTTCGCCCCCCCCTCTGCCTGGGGGACGCCTCCAGCCTCCCCAGCGCCCGCAGCAGGTGCGTGGCTTTGCTTCCTCGCCTAACCAAAGCTTTTCACCTCGCCTCGCCAAACGGATCCCCGAAATTGGGCACGGTGAGGCCGGGCTGCGCGTTCCCGTTTCGTTGTCCCGTGCCTCGGCAGAGCGCGAGCGGCTCTTCCGGCCCGAAGCACGCCGGCCTTTTGCGAGCGGCTCTTCAGGCCGGAAGCACGCGGGCTTTGTCTCCGGCTGGAGCTGAGCCTGGCGCTGAGCGAGGGAGCAGGATACTGCTGCCTGGTGCGAAGGTCCATCGGTTTCCTCCTCAGACTTAGCAGGAGGTTCAGGCTGAGGGGATGAGGACATCTCCCGGCTGAAAGGCTGAAATTCAGCTACGTGCAGCCCCAGAGTCCCTCTCCAGACCTCCCGCTGCAGGGGCTTCGAAGCTCGCTCTCAAAAACGCCTGTGAGACCCAGCAAAGGAAGCTTCCTACGCCCACGCGGGGGTTTCCTGCTGGGCAGCAGCCGGCTCGAGCAGTCAGACCGGGCTGGGGTTTGCCATCCCAGTAAAGACCGGAGGCTCCGTGGTGTCGTCAGTGCAGGGCTCCAAGGGCTGGTGGTGCCCGTCCGCCCGGGCGTCGCTGCCCTTGCTGCGGGGCCGGGCTGGCGGAGAGCTTTCTCTGCGTGTGGTGAGATGCCCTGTCCCCTTTTGGGTGGTTTGGGTGGGGAGAGCAAGTCTGGCGGAGGGCTGGCTGTATCCAGAAGGATACAGCCTCTGTAGGATAACAGGATAATAGCAGGATACCCCTCTGTGGGTGGCACAGAGGTGTTGCCTTGTCCTCGAGGGGCCGTGTGGGTTCACGTCCCGGCTGGCGTGTCCCCAGCTGGCCAGGCTGCTCACTGCCCTGTCCCGAGGCTGCTCTGGGGCTTTGCTCATGGAGATGGGAGCTGGGAAACAACCTCCGAGCTGCCGTTTCCCTCTTTCCCAAATAAGTCAAAATTTACCTGGTTAAGAACCAAACCCTTTGAGCGATTGAGTTCAGCAAAATGCTTCAGCCAGAAACATATTTTCTTTGGTGGAGCAAAACCAGTGGTTGTTTCAGAGTGGCTTGTTACTGCTTTGTGTCCCCCCCGCCCCAGTGACGGCCGGGG